CCTGCACCCCTGGCCTATACCCCGGCTCTGTACGCATAAATTAAATATCTTGAAAAAATATTTGTTGAGAAAGCTGATTTTGCTCAGCTGTCTTGTAGTAGCCTGAGAACCACAACCTGATTGGAGAAGACGGCCCCAAAGACAGCAGGTCGCCTCAGAATTAGGAGTCCCGGAAGGTAGCCTCCGTGTAAAAGCTATTTTGTAAGTGGAATAAATGGACTTTCAAACACAAGGCAGATTCTCGGTTTTTCAAGACCCAGAATGGGAGGAAGGGCGGGCCCAGGCCCCCTTTTCGGGGTCCCTCTACCACATTCCATTTACTTTTGTCTGCATCTCCAGGCGGGAGTTTCAGGAATGTCCCACGGCCAGAGACAGCCAGCTGAGAAGCGCCGCCAGAGCAAGCACACCTCCGCCAGCCTTCCCGGCTGCGCCAGCCTCCGGGGGCTGCGGGGTCAGCTGCATCCCTCGACCTGCTGCTGGACGCCGGGGCACCCCTGAGCCCCGAGAGCGGGTCTGACGGACCCAGAGGGGAGGAGGAGTCAGAGACTGGCAGAGGAGGGAGGGCCACCAGACGGTGGCACAGCTGGGCAGCCTTGCCTGTCTCCGCAAGGACATGGCTGCACTTAGCAGCTCCTCCTAGACAGAGAGAAACTCCAGAGCTAAACAACGGCCCGTGGGCAATTTAATAGCATTTATTATTCCAAGCCCTACAGTTAGTTTCGGTCAAACAGCAGCAGTCTCTCAGTGAGCAGCCCTACAGCCAGAGGCCCACAGGGCGGGGAAGTGGGGCTGGACCCAGAGCAGCAGCTTGGGCGCGCCCGCGGCCATTCTTGTACTTTGCCAAGTCAGCAGGCAGGATGCCCTGGCCACCTGCAGACCACCTTTGATGTCCCATGCACCCCGCCAGCAGGCTGCCTTTGGGGTCTTTTGCTCACAAAGAATGTTTTTAGACTATTAGCCCACACAGCTGCTCACTGGCCCGGCCAGCACGGCTGGCGAATGCCCGCTCGGCGCCGGGGGCAGGGGCTGGGCGCGAGGCAGAGCGGCAGGTGCGTCCTCCGAGAGTGCCCCTCGGCCTGTGTTGAGGTCGGTGCCTCTGATTTGCAAAAACAACCAATGCTCGTCCCCCGACCCTCCCCTCGCCCCAGCAGTTCCCCCTCTTCCAGCACCCCGCCAAGGGAATGCTGGGCCTGCTGGAGAAGCGTGGTTGGAGGGCAAGAAGCTGCAGCCCTCACCAGCAGGGCCCTGAGGACCCCGGGCGCCCAGAGGCAGCTAAAGGTCTGGTAGGCCCGAGGCAATACTAACCCACCTGGGCGTGGCCAGGAAGGCGGGGCCGCAGGGCCAGTTTTAACTCCCCTTGGAGGAAAAAGCAGCCTCCCTGGCAGCAGAGGCCCTTGTGACAGAGCCAGCTCCTGCGTCCATGGCAAACCCAGTAAGCGAAGGGCGCAGGTCCCCAAGTTGGGGGCAGGGCCATGCCATCTACCTGGACAGCTGGGGGTATTCCAGAGCCTGCCCCTCCCCAGCCGCAGGGTCGGGGGAAGAGCCCCCAGCCAGGCCACCCAGTGTCCACGCAGCCAGAGGCCACGTGAGCTTCCCTCACACACACGTCTGGGCCGGGGCTCCGAGGTGGACTGTGGGGGGAGGGGCTGACACACAGGGAGCACCCAGGGGCCTCCAGGCGGGACTCACCCGCTGGTGTCCATGCTCTGCAGTCGCTGAAACAGGGTCTCGGAGAGGCTGGGCCGGCTGACCTCAGTGGCTCTGGGGTTCTCCATGGAAACAGGGCTCTCCTTGGCCTCACACGGCCCCACGGATAAAGGGATGTTTCTTGGGGGCAGCTCGGGTGGAGACAGGACAGCTTCTGCTCAAGAGAAGAGGGGTTGCTGCAGGGAGGGCCGTGCGGCTGATCCCACGCGAGGGCCTGTTTGCCGCACGGCCCTGGCCCTACGCCCACCACTGTACCGCCCACCCTGGCCTGGCCAGGAAGCCTGCTGAGAGCAGGGGCCTGGCCTCAGTGGCATGGACCCAGGGCCCAGCACAGTGTCTGTCCACGGGGGCACCCAGCAAACACCTGTCCCGGGTCAGAGGACCCTGGACAGTGGGACCCACAGCCCCAAGTGGCAGGGGAGGGGCTCCCGGCCTGAGACGAGGGCCCAGACTGGGCAGAGCCCAGAGCCCGGAACAGGCCTGGCCACGCTGCCCCTCTCTCTCCTGTTCCCTGCCCCAGGCGCCTGGGGCCCGTTCTCTACAGCTCCTCTCCAGCCTCTGCACCCCGCCCTCCCCCCAAAGCCCCAGACAAAAGAGACAGTGAGGGCTCCCTTTGCCAGGCGAACTGCGCTTGGCTGCAGGTGGGGCTGCTGCCCTCCCCGAGAGGCCCAGCTGCGTGTGCACACGTGGGCCAGGGCTGGGCACCGGCCTCTCTCTGGCCCCGGCCGCGGAGCAGCCCCGGGAGGCTTTCCTAGAGGGCAAGCCGTCACGGCCTGGCCTGGCCTGGCTCCTTCCACGGAGTGAGTCTGTGGGCCCTCTGGGGACCTGGGGCAAGGCAGACACCTTCCACGGGGTGGGGTGGGTGAGTGTCACGTGCTCTGCTTCAAGTGACAGTTGGTCTCTTGGGGAAGTGAAACCTGTAGTTTCTCTTTCCAGCCCTAAGGGAGCATGTCGCAGGGTCTTGGCCTAGACAGTGGTCCCCCGAGGTGTAGAAAAGCAGGGGCGGTGGTGGCAGAGGAAACGAGGGTGCTGATGTGGGGGGGGACACCTCTGCAGGACGCTGCTCAAGTCAGGGCCAAGGCCTGGGGCAGGGACAGCTGGGGGACAGCACCTTGACTGGTGGGTGGCCCTGGACTCTCGTGTGGACCTGTCTGTTCTGGCCACTTCACAGCGTGGCCGGGGGTGTGTGACGAGAGACACGCCCTGCCGGGTCCCCTCAGCCTCCGGGGAGCTGTCCCGTCCTGTGGGCTGGCGTGGCCCTTCCTCAGAGCCCACCTGTGCTGGAGTAGCCATCAAGCCAGGTCTCCAGGAAGGAGGGCGGGGGGCGGGGGGCGGTCTCCGGCGGGGAGGGAGGTAAACAGGCACCCCAGGGATAGGTCTAGGGCGCTCTGCCTTTCTTGGGGGCGACCCTGACAGGCACCCCAGGGAGAGGCCCAGGGCGCTCTGCCTTTCTTGGGGGCGACCCTGACAGGC